AGCTGCTAAGGAAAACATTTTCCTTCTTTCTGTGCCTTTCTTATTGTCTGCAGTCGAATTGAAATTGCCTGTTGACTTGCCTGCTAACTTGTGTTGGATTTTCCTTTAGTCAAATTTAACTTACTTCACCCAATGCATTTCGCTGAGCTTCAGGGCGTTCATCGTGTTTAAGAAAGACATTTTTTGCACGAATCTTTTAGAGTATGGAAGAGAAGAACGTGCATTTGCTTATTGACGTCCATCTTATTCTTATACTTCGTTACATACTCTACGACAGCTTGTAAGGATCGCAATCTTATCCAATATCCTGCAGACTTTATTTGTACACCTAACACCAAGAACCATAATTTAAATTTTTCAATTTTCCGGATTTTCATTTTCATCTGTCTAGCACGATTTTGATTTATTTTGGTACGTTATGTAGGCACACGAGTCCTAGCTTTATTTTGCTCAACAGTTGGGGTTTTCAATACTTGTTCAAGCACAAAAGCAATTTGACAGTTAAACGAGCGAACGTAAATTGTTTTTAAATCTCATCAACAGTACGAACTATCTGCCTTTGACACGTTCTTTTTTTGGGGTTGCATTCGCTACGCATAGCACCTCCTATCGACATCCAATTATCGCAAAAACCGATAAGACAATCCAATTGGAGAAACACTCAGGGCCTGGTATACATTTCTTTAAATTCTCAATATCCGTAAAGGCACAACAACGTTAACGAATTAGGCAGGCATTCACTAGGCTGCGGCTTTTACCTATCCGTTTCTTTTGGTTAGATCCGTGCCCCTATAAACTTTAGTAACTCTTGCAACTTACCCATCAGCGACATATCCAAGTACCTCTTATAACTTCTTATTAAACTTTTACCAAAAAGACTCGGAAAGAATAGTTGAGATGTCTGAGGAATCCAAGCAATGCTAGGCTTTTCCTGCGTATTTATTAGCATCACAAATGCTTTGACGAAACTAATATATTCTTTGTTCGTGCGTTGCGATAAAACATTTCTTGATTCTTCTACTTCAGTTGACTTTCGTACTTAAATAACAGGAATTTAATTTTTCATTTGTGTATGCCTTAGAATTTGTGTTGAATAGTTGTTCAAAATACGTCTCTGCTGAAGGGGTATGTTACAGAAATTATCGCAAGCGTTCTTGTTTTTTTTTTTTTTTTTTTTTTTTACTTCTCTCTCTCTCTCTCTCTCTCTGTTTAACTTCTTTGGCTTGCGGTGTTGTAGATCCACACGAGTTGTCTTGCGTGCATAAAAGTGTTTCTTAAATGGAGAAAATTATTTCAAAAGATACTTTTTACGCAAATGCATGCATATAACTTTTGCTTTTCCACAACATCCCGCAAACAAGCAGGTGCTGATTCTACTTTTTGCCTGATAGGCTACAAAGGTTTTGGTTTTGGTTTTGCTTTGTTAAGTTTTTAACTTTAGCTTCAAGGAAGCGTTTTTTCCAGGCGACAAAGGAGAAAAAAACTGTGTTAAGTTACAGAATGTGAAGGAATTAAGTGCAGTTAAATACTCATATAATTTTATTTTATAAATTAAATCTATGCAGGAGAAAGTAGCTGATGTGTATTAAATACAAAGGATCTTTATAAAGCAATCGGTAACGTACGACATTTGTTTCTATTACAAAATTTTCTTTCCATAACTGCTTTGGCTATCACTGGCGCAAGAGCATCCGAAGGCGAAGAGCATAAGTAGGCACCAATTATCACCTATTCTGGGGTTTGTGTTTTCCTTCGCACATCTGTTCTGCCTTTGCTATGTTCTCCTCGTTACCAGCGCTTTAGAAAATCGGACATACTTTGCACGTTAAACTAAACTAACGCTCCAACGTTAAGTGGTCTACATGTAAATAAACACAACATTAGAAAAACTAGTATAAGTAGGCGAGAAAGTATTTAAGTGTAAATGCCCGGTGAGTATCAGGGGTTAACAAGTGTGTTACAGAATCCACATACAAGTTATGTTACAGGATAACCTAAGACGGAAACGCCGCGCCAATGCTATTTTTAATAGCGTCATAAATCAAAATAATAATTAAAAATTTTTATAACGAATTAATGCAAAAAAGTAAAGAAAGTGAAGAAATATTGGGAAGAATTATTATTGTTTAACGTTGGGAAGTGAGTGCGGTTTCAATGCATTTTGCTTAGGACTCATTTCGCAGTTTTACGTATATAAACTTCACCTTTCTGACGTCTATTGTACTATTATACACGGTTCAAAATAATGCCTTCGTCCATGTATCTTTCTGTCTTCTGATTTGTTGTCGGAATTCTCAAGAGTTCGAATCGTTTTTGCGGCACGAAACTAATTACTATAATAAACGGAACCGTAGGTGTCTTGGTCGATCTAAAAGAATTTTTGCTTGCGAAGCACACCCAACATCGCTAGCTTCTATAAATCAAAAAGGAAAAAAGGACGAAAAGGCGCTTCATTCCGAATGACGTAAGGTATATTAAGTTGCCGGGAGTATATGCAATACCTGCACAGAATTAAGATCGAATCACCTTCTATTACACTGATCCATTCAGAATCCGAAATAATTCAGAAAATTATACTAAATTCATCGAAATTTTTCGACCTGTCTGTCCGCCTGTCCGCCTGTAAATATAATATCCGCCCATGTATTTTCGTGTTCAATCTACAGATTGCAATTTTTGAAATGGATGAACACTAACTGTCGACCACTTCCGCTGCTGGTGTTGAGTTGGTCGTGACTGACTATAATGTTTTTGCTGCTTTACAAATTTCACTTTTTAATGCCTTTAATAAAAAATTTCCATTCAACACAGAAGACTTTAAATTAAAGTCAGTGAAAATTTCGAAGAAAAATGTCTCAGAATGTTACTCTAACAGCCGTATTTTGACCTTGCGACCGGATCGAGAGAAGGGAAGACTTGCCTTTTTGCATTCGTTTTTTTGTTTTTTTGTTAAGTCAGGAAAACCGCCCAAAGAAATGAATTTAAGCTCTATATACTTAATAAAATACTAAGTAAGTTTAGAAATAGATTCAGAATCAAAAATTCGTTCTTGCTTTGTTATTTGAAATTATAAAGAAAATGACAACAACAATTTACGATATCCATTGCACTGCAGGTTCATGTGGACAAATCTTCAAGTTCATCAAAATCGAATCTCTCAAAAGACTTATTGTGGTGCTCGGAAAACCATTTCGTTTTTTGTTTTTCAACAGATGACTTGCGTTCTCATTACATATTTGTGTCGACAGCTGGTATACCAAAGGCTGTTTGTAGAGAAGTTGGCTTTTTTTTGCGCAATAGCTTGGGTTTAGTGCCCTATCAGATGTGGAAAGCTGAAGAGAGCAGTATTTTCGGTATGTTTTACTTTTTACACCTTACACCGCTTATGGTACAAGCGTTTATTAAGTTTTTACACATTTAATAGGTTGAGATAGACCCACTTTTTATCATACCAATTGATTCAGAAAGTCATACTAAGTCCGTCTGTTTGTTTGTCTGTTTTATTTTCTTTGAGGTATTTTTACGAAATTTGGTACATCGACATGTTTTAGCCCAATGATTCGGATCAGGTCACCTCTTCGCCCAATCCTCATGTACAATCTTATTTATTAAAATTCAAGTGGCGTAGGGAATTCATGGGTAATGACAACCCATTATTCTTTTATTTAGTATCGAAAGATAAAAATACTGTTCAAACAAGAAAAAAATTATTGAATCCGCCCGGTCTACCGGAAATTTTGTAGTCTGATTTTAGCCGATTTCAGCTAAACGAGTTAATATCGTTTGTTCGTTAACAGCAAACTTCAACGATAATCCATAGGCGCTCTGAACATAGATTCAACTGTGACCTTCGATTCTCACGCGAACTCGTGGCTTAATCGTGAGGTGAAAGTCATCTTTACGAAATTTTACGAACTCGTTTGGCACTGCCTGCTGTGTTGTAGTAACCCAGCAACCGAATACACTATAAATGTTTCTTATGGCTTGTGCAACTTTCAACACAAAAAACATTTCTAATAAGCTCTTAATGTTTATTAATATTTTTAATTACGAATTTCATTCTCAGCGACTTAATATACGGAGGCAATATATTGGCAGAAAGCCAGTGCTTTGTAAAATTTCGTTCCTACAATTTTGATATTGAAGAGGCAGCTCGTTCTGCCAGCTATTGAAGCACTTGAAGCTGATGAAGACAAAATAAAGTCAAACCGCCGAACGGCAGCTCTTGAGGCCACTGGGAGATAAAGTTTATCGAATTCAACACTTCGTGATAAAATATTTAAAAACTATAAGAAAATGTAGCTTTATTTTGGATCAGTTACAAGGCAGGAGTAGTTAATTTAAAACCTATTTGAACGTCTTGATGGACAAGACAAACCTCTCAACATATAATTCAAGGAATGAATAAATTCCTTTTGGCGAAATATAAGAAACTTCTCCACGTTTGACGAAAGAAATGCTCATAGAAAACGTTGTCAATATTTAATTTGAATTAATGTCATCTTTTCGGAGCTCTTTAAGAAATAGAGACATCTTAGAGCATAAATTGGCATTTATTTTGACCGCTAGCGAGAGCCACCATCAGTAGCCTCAACTTTTGTAGGAATAAAATTTTAATTAATGACCCTAAAGATACTTGTAACCCAAGCATGCGCATTTCAATATGAAGGTGAATATCCGCGTGATATAAGTAGTGAGACTGGAATTGGTGAATTTTTCCGGTTTCTCTTCGTTTTTCTCTCTCGGGGTGTCTCTCTATTTCCTTCGCTCTTTATCAACGCCCTCATCTAAATCCTGCTTTTTGTTTATGTTCTTGTTTGCCTTCTCTTTGCTTACTTTTTTGCTTGTACCTTTGCTTTGCTCTCTCTTTCTGTTCTTCTTCTTCTTCTTGTTTCTCATTATGTTTACCTAAAGATATTTTTGGTTTTGTTTTGATTTTTTGAAATGGTTGTTGTTTTGTTGTGCCTTTCCTATGACAATTTGTTTGTATGCACTTTTTCAAGTGTCAAACTTGTGTTTTTGAACTTTGCCCACATCCACTCATATAAAGACGTAAAGTGTACAGCGCAGCAATGGTGGCGGCGGTGGTATTTAACATTTATTGTTTTATTTTTTATTCTTTTGTGTTTGTATGTGTGTGTATGTATGTGTGTGTTCTAGTTGATTTTTCATTTACAATAATGTCACTCATGTTCTATTTTCTGTTTTCATGTCGACACACACAGATACATATGTAATGATTATTTAAGATCACAAAAAACTTTCATAGAGAAATGTAAAGAAGAAAAGGCAGCTTTTTTTTATTTCTAGCTCACTTACCCTTCTCTTGCAACTGCTGACGTTTCACATCGCCTTTCAATATTTCGGCTGTATGAACCAATTCATTGAGTTGCGGTTTCTTCGTTTTCAACTCACGTAAAATCTTCTATTACCGGCAAAAACGAAGAGAAATTTATATTTAATATACATTTAGAATTTGAATTTCAATTAGAATCATGCTCAACTTACCTCTTGCTTCTCAATGGCCATACGTATCGCGTCGATATTATCGACGGGAACACTTTGTATTTTAATCATGTTCTGTTCCCACGTCAACCAATCTGAAATTTGTAAGACCGATTTATCGAACCCTCCGGCCAAAGCGCCGCTGCCACTGGGTTCGTCGATGTAATCTGAAATCAAAGAACAATTTTATGAATGTATGCACAAACTATTTCATGAACTTCGAAGACTGTTAAACACACACGTTAAGAATATTTCCGTTAGCCTGTTGCCTCGAACGGCAAAAGATTAAAAGGTTTTCCCTTGCGGTTAGTCTTAGAGTATTTTATCTCCTAAACCATAACATCGCGCTATTCCCGCTGACAGTCGCAAAATTATTATTATTATTATTATTCATTAATTGTATCAATTACAATTAAATTGTATTATTAATTCTTCATCCCACATTGAAATGGTGGTAAGTTTTTTTCCAATTTTCGCATGAATATTTAAATATTTTGCTAAGCAAGGATTAATGCAAACCGTCTCACCTTTTGGGGGGTTTTCTTACAAAAATTCTAGTGTCTTTGATACATATACAACTCCCAGGCAGTTTTTCTTATAAAAATTCTACTATTTTTGATTCATGTACAACTCCCAGGCAGTTTTAAATGAAACGCGCTTGCATATATTTTGTTCAGCAAAAGGCGAAAGTGATAAAGTAATGTGTCAATGCACGCTAACAGTTACCCTTCCATTTAGCATTATTGAGTTATTGAGTCCAGACAGACGGTAGTCATGGAGCCTTCGAAATTGCATTTTCAACATTCATTACTCTTGTTGTTTGATTTGTAGAAATCTCCTGCCGAAGCCCATTAAACACTTTTAGAAACTGACTGTGATGCTGCTCCCTCATATCCCAATAGCCACCTTAAAAGTAGTCATTTTAAGGTCAATGACACAGAAAGGCAAGACTTCTTGGACGAAAAGCCAGCTCAAACTCTCAAAGAACTTTCAAACAGCTTAGCAATTGCTGAATAAACTGTTTCTTGACAAACGCATGCAGTGGGAAAAAACGAAATGAACATGGCTGCCGTACTAATTGACTGAAAATGATTTTTCGAATCATTTTTTGCGCCGTATTGCGACTGGCAATGAAAAGTGGATCTACTACGACAATCCTAAGAGGAAAGAGCCATGGCTTAGTCCGGGAGAACCATATACAGTGACACCGAAGCGAAGTTTTCATGGTCATAAATTTATGCCGTGTGTATGGTGGGACCAGCAAGGTTGTGCAGTGTGTTGCGATCTGCTAAAACCGAATTAATCTGCTACTACAGATGTTCATCGACGCCTTGTCATGTCTCTTGCAAAAGAGACCAGCAATGGCGGCCGGCGAATATCGGCACAAATAACACTTGGGGTTAACATACACAGTCCTATTTTTTAATATACACAGCTGACAGAGATCCATCGAGAAAGATTTGTGTGTAGTACACATTCCTCGATTCCTACGAATGGCAAACATTTTGCGTTTTTGTGCTTGTTGTGTCGATAATAATCGCTTTTGAAATTACAGAATTTTTCTATCCATGTTCATGACATGTTAAATAATAATAATAATTATTATCCCAACATTCAAAAATTTACAATCTTTTCATTTCACTTTGCTAAAACCAACCCCATTGACTCACATTTCCAATCTCATCTGCTATTAGCACTCATTAATGATTGCATTAAAGTATGCTCTAATTACAAAAAAGCAATGCGATTATTCCACTCCTATAAATTCACTTCAAGAATTTGTTTCATTTATCATCTAGCCTTTGAATTGTCAAACAATTTATTTCGCTAATCAGCAAAATACTCACTTTTTCAACCAAACATTTTTTTTAAGAGAATTTTTTAGTCCTACTTTTATGAAGATAAAGAAACACTTCAATGTATTTAAATGTATATCTCTGTTACATACTAACGCTAGTTAACCTTTTTGGCTGGCTTTAAACAAAGTTTATTGAAAAGCTATAGGCTTATCATTTTGTGGACCCTACACGCAACTGGGCAGCATTTCATTAATAAAGTTAAATTAAAAAAGAAGAAAAAAAAATGTAAGATAAACTTTTTTATTCTTTGTAGAAGAACGAAAATAGTTTAGTATTGAATTTATTTCCTAAAGGAAATTCTCGTAAAGTATGCTTTTTTCTCTTTCGAATAATCAGCCAGGAAATATACTGCAGTTTTCCCAATAACTTACATGCGTTGCGCTAGCTACTAACGTAATGAAACGACTAAAACTATGCTACAATTTTTAGCAGAATGTAATATAATGTTCTAATTTTTTCCTACTTGAACTCTTAGTTATCTTTGACTTGTCAATATTTTCATATTTACACATTTCAAACTTTCACTTTATTATAGTTGAAAGTAACCGACGAAACCGCAAGGTTATGAGCTTCAAATCTATGAACAATAAAAATAAAGAAAATCTTCAAGTATTCTTACGCAAATAACAGTGTACTCGGTAGTGTATTGAATGCGGTGCACAAAAGAATATAGAAGCAAAGTCTGAGAGGCGGAGAGACGGAAGTAAGAACATGTAAGTTGCAGCTAAAACATACTTTAGTTAAACACTTGGCAGGAAATCATAGCGAAAGAAAGAAAAACACATCATAAAGACGAGAAGTAAAACCTAGAAAAAGCTTAAATGATATTATGGCTCATAGGGAGTGTGAATAACCGTAAGGATTTAAAAACACTAAGAAGGGAATATTAACAAAAACGGAGCAATAGAAGCAACTATATAGATATTTTTTTTTTTTTTTTTTTTTCAAGGTAAAATATATATAAAATATATATATACATATATATATATATGTATATATATATATATATATATATACGTATACTGAGAAGTGCAAGCGCTGTAAAGTCATTTTAACAATTCGAGCATTTTATAGAGTTTTCATTTAACTTAGAGCAGAGAATAGAGGAAAAAAAAGTCAACAACTCCTACACAGTATATTTACAACCAAGCAAAAATCAAATGACAAATTTGAATAGCGTCGCACACGTAGAAATGTTACGGTAACAAAAACCCTGTCATAATTCATTAAAAAACAAGCCGTAAAGGATGTCTGGAGAAGAAGAACAGTAAGAAAGAAAATCTCTCGCTTATAATAACAACACCGGCACTGTAAACATAGTCTATGCACATTTAAATATTAAATGGGCAATTGCCTCTCTCCCTGCTGTAGTTCCTTCTTGTTTTTTTTTCCTTTTACTGCTTGCTCTCTTCTCTAACCATACAAAGTACATTGACTTTACACATATTGATGTGTGTTTAAAAGCCTGGATGATGTGTAAAATATTATGTGGAAATAATTTTCATATTTACTTATGTCTAAAATGACTTTTGTGCAATTTATGTGACATTTAGAAAGAGGAAAACCCAAGCAAACCTAACGCAGCAGAAGGAAATCGAATGTGTATTTAATTATTTATAATTAAATTCTGTAAAGATTAATATAAGATATTAAAATACATTTTCAAGTAATAGTAATAGCACTAGTAGTAGTAGTAGTAGTAGTATTAGTAGAAAATTTGAAATTAAAAAAAAATGTAAGTGAACGTGAACCGCTTTCATTCTTAGTTGTTAGCCCAAAGAGATGAATTTTAAAACTAAAGGAGGACGGGTCCTAACAACTAAGGAACTAAGGCGAATCTCCAAATTTTGGAAAGCACTAAACGAAAGGAGTCTTGGAGATCAACTACTTCGGGTTTTTTCTTGGGACTGCTGATAATAGACAGGTCGGAAGCATTTTCGTTCGGTGTTTCTTAAAAACTGTAAACTGGATTTCAACTCGGATTTCAATTTTTCTAAAACTAATTAAATTGTTTTCAAACTTTTGTGTTCCATGCCGGCTTTCTTAGGTTCAAGAATGTGAAGAAATGCATGGACGGAATAAATTTGGGGGCGAAGAAAGTAAAGTGCAAGTTTTCGTGCCTTTGGGTTTCTTAATAATTCTCTAAGCAACTTGCTTATACAAAAGAAGGATAGATATAACTATATGTATGAATCCATTACGAACCAAAGTCTTATTAATATATGATAGGACTAGGTTTATGAATAACATCTGTGTAGGAAACTTATCTAGAGGATAATGTAGGACTACGCATGAAATTTGCTTGGTATCGCAGTAAAGTCACCGGCTTAGCCAAAGAGCCAATCCATTACGTTAGCCTTCAGCCAAGAGTAGTAACGTACATCAAATTTTTGTTATTTTTTATAAAAGCAAAAAGAAAAATGTAAACGTACCTAAATAAAAAATAAACGCCAAAGAACTTTTATTTTGGAATTATTCCAATTTTAATAGATTTGGTGAATAAAGCAGAAAGTGTTTTACAAAGTCATTAAAACATTAAAGTCATTAAAAAGTCTTTCCATTATTAGAAAGAAATGTCTTTTGAAAAAAACTATTTTGACAAAAACTTCTTTACGTGTATAAATGTTGTGTGCTCCTATTACATTTATCGCACTTTGTGTAAGTTTTGCGCTTTTGTTTTATCACTTATTTGAACCGAGAATTTGAACATATTCGCCTTTGTGTTGGAATATTAATACTTTATTGAAATCTCTGGATGATTAACAGTTAAATGTCTATTTGATGTTGTTGTTCTTCATTTATTGATGTCCTTTTGTTCTTCAGAGGAAGAAAATTTGCTCTTATTTATCCTTTTTTTTTTTTAATGTTTATTTTGCAGGCAAACACAAAAATTTCTTTCCTTAGCACAAATCCTTTACTTTCATAAAAATTGTTTTTTTACAAACGATAACTTTTCATATTTAAATTTTCGAGAATTTCCGTTGTGTACCTTTCGGCGCGAGTTTTAGATTTGAATGACCTGTAAAGCTTAACCGAAGCGATTTTAATAGTCGAACATAATTCATTGCCAAGTTTATAAGACCTGTCTCTGCCAAGTGATGGTAAGGAAAGCTCGGAACAAAGTTTTAGGGTCCACGTACGTAACAACGCAGAAGCTTCAGTAAAGCTGTAGACAACATTGTATACACTGTATGTAAACCTCAGTTTTTTGGCAGCAGCGCGAACAAAGCAAAGTTCTAAACCTGGGCATAAAGCACAGCCATGGAAAACCTTTCAAAAAAATGTAAAATATCCTACAATTATGGCTAGCAGCGGAGACAGGTATGTAAAACATGAAACTTTAATTCCCTTTTGTTCCGCGTAAGAGTAACGAATGTCACAATGTTTTGCAACGAATAAGCAAAGTTTTGCGTATCGCAAAGTTTTCCCAAAGCTTCAACGATAATTTTTCAAAATTTCAGATGACAAATTTCCGTTACTCCCCACAACCATTTTTGAAGCGATATTTCCATATAGAGAAGATTAAATAATTTACTTCAGAGCTTCTAGCAAACATTGATTTCATGGGTATGATGGAAAGCAATACTTAATAAATCTCTCCACATTCTTCTGCGAACTTCTTATGAGTTCTATGTATAAAAAGGGGGAAGGTGTGATGTTAAGCTACTTATACTTTCGAGAACACTATAGTTAACGCTAAATATTAACAATCAAGTAGCGGACGCAATGCGAATGGAGAAGTTAAATAAAAGTGGAGAATGGAGAAAAGCGAAGGGCGGCAAATTTGGACGGAGGTGAACTAAAAAGGAAGCGACTCCCTTATTTTCGAAACCCGTTTGCCTTTTTTTAGAATTGGACCAGAAGAAAACGTTGACAAGTTTAGTGCTGTCGCCATGCGAAAGAAAAGCATAATAAACTCTTCACTGGCAACACAAAGGCAAAGAAAAGAAAAACTGATTGATAGGACACCAGCTCGTTTGCCTTCTTTTTGACTGGTAAGGTAAGGAAAAACACTTTTTCATGCGCATTCATTTCACCATGTGTAATAGATGATTGTCGTTAAATTTTTACATGGAGGGTGTTTGTTGTTGTTCAAACAAACAAAAAAATGTGCAATCAGTTATGCAAAGTTTGACATAACAAGACTATACTAAGGAATTCGACAAAACATTAAAACACAAAAGTTAATAAAATTGAAGAAGACGCAAAGAAACGAAAACACTGCGCGGAATAATCGGCATTTCTCATTAGAATGTTCTTAGCAATTTTGTGCCTCACTTACCTTTACCAACATTTAGACTTTTGTTCAGCTTGGACAGTGACTTCAGTTCTGTTAGCGACAATTCAATCTGATCGGCATGGTTTTGTAAATTGCTTTTGATCTAAAAAAAAAGAATAATATTGAAAAGCATTGTCCATGACATGGGAAGCGCAAAGCGAACCTGTTCGATATCATTCATCATGGTGCAGCTAACCTTTGGCATTTGTTCACTTTTGCCAATAGCGTTGACAATCAATTTTAAATCGTCACGGCGATCCTAAGGAATAAAATGATTGTAAAAATGGTTCGAAATGGCAACAAATTGAAAAGATGTGATTTTTTTTTTTTTTTCGTGAAAGAGACAAACTTTCAAAACTGTAAAAGTGTTGGGGAGAAGAAAAGAAAAAAACAGAAGAATGGAAAAATCCAACAAAATTCAAATAGGATGACAATGTGAAACATGAAGAAAAGTTAATTACAATAAATTCAGTCGACATAGAAAACATAAAAAAAAAAAATCACGCATACATCACACTTGAAAAGTTTTCACCGTTTGCGTTAACCAGCAAAATTGCATTGAAAGATAAAGACTCGATAGATTTCCGCAATCTTTTCGACTAAAGATTTTCTTCACATTGACTTTCGCAAACGTTTTTCTCTAAGGTATAAACAATATTTATGTTGCAATAGTAAATTTTTCATATGTTTACTTTAGCGTTTCCAAATTTTCACTGAAATATTTTTCTATCGACTAGAATCGGTGTAGAAGCCTTTAATACATTTTTCTCATTTTTTTTATAACAATTTTCTTTTGCAAAAAAAAATATAAAAAAAAACTTTGGAAAACGATCAATGGATTCTCTTTGGTGCTGAGAGAATTTTGCACATTTGGATCGGCTGACAGCGCTTGTTATTGCTTTACGCGTTCGGCTATTTATTCATTTCGCTTTGGTATTTTTCACGTTTTTTAGCGTCAAGGCGTATGTAGATGTGATACATATTTATTTTAAAGGGCATTCTACCTAACATGAACGTAAACTATAAGTTATACCGTAAAAATAAGTTCAAGCAATTTTTTCTTTTTATCACAATTTGTTGATCATGACGCTTATATGAGTCATAAGCCAATGTAAAGCATTATTAAGCGATTCAAAAGAATTCCTCTCTCGTTCGACATCTCTCTGCCTCCATCGAATGTATATACTGCGATATATCTATGTACGAAGCCTAATCAACCATTTAATCAAAAAAACGAAGAAAGCTAAACCGCTTGGTTCATTAAAATTTTAAAAGCCTGCTATATTGTACCTTGCTGTGGTTTTTTTTTAAGCGACTCTATTCGATCTCTTCTTGCTAAGTATTCGTTATCTAAGCTTTATTTACATATATCTGATCCTTTGCAATATTTGCTTTGTAGCTAAGCATTTGCATTTCAATTCAATTGCGATTTTGATCGCAATCGCAAGCAACGTTAAACACAATACTTTTGCGTAGCACACCCAACTACACACATGTATAGGTGATCAATCTCTTTCATTCTCTGCCTCATTTTACGCTCATGTTGTTTCCTCTTTCTCTCTTTCTTTTCTCTCTTCCTCTTGCTCTTTTTTACAGCATTCCACGGAGAGGATATAGAGTACGTTCTTCCCTTTTCTAATTTGATGCAAACTTGTTTTTGATTTTTTGTTTATTTACTTATGTCTTATGTTTGTTTTTTTTTTTCCTGATCGTCAATAATTTTTACTCTAAACATTTGAAAACAATCCAATTAAACTTTGATCTATAGACCGAATGTCTTACGCTAATTTTATGAGTTATTCTGGCGGGCATTGGACGATCAGTATGTTAAATTAAATGAAAAAGTCTAGCTGTGTGTGAATGTGTGACTATAAATAAATTTGTTTTTATACTCATTTTGTCAGGACGTTTGCAACACACAGATCGAAGCTTCGAATACCACACAAAGTACATTTCATCGGTATCAAATTTTAAAAGTCCATCTGTCGGGCTAATGTCTGTTGAAAACATACTCTTGCCACAAAAGTGAAGCTATCGACTTTAAATTCGGCAGAAACAATGGAATTTCTTGCACACAGGTTGGTATGGTTCATATGAGCGAAATTGGCCGAAGGACACGCTTACAGTACTGGTTGAAGAGAGTAGATCTCAGTTTTTTAAACAGAATAAGAAATCAGGTTTTTGCTCATTGCTCATAAATGCACAAAATTTGGAATTTATATTCTATAGGCGATGCGATAGTACCTGCGGAAAAATTGGCTACGCCCACCCAGAATTATTTAATACTAAGTTTTTCTTCGACACTTTTATAACGCGCAGAGAAAAGCATCAAAGCCTCCATAAAGTATATAATTTCATGGGCGGCTTCAAGTTTGGAAATCACCTAAGCATGTCCATGTGTTCACCAGTCCATCTGTCGATTTACCCAACCGTGTAGTATCTTTCGCAGGAAGGAAGATATGGCCTACAAATTTTCAAAATAATTTGAAAATGACCCAACCCGGTCAAAGGGCACACCGACAACGCCACACGCGCCACGCTGCAAAAACTGGGAACATCTTTGCCTTTCTTGGTTTTTACTCATTACTCAAAAACTACAACATAAACTTAATATGAATCTCCAGTCTCGGTCGCGATCGAACAGAGTTTTTTTATTCGTTGCACTTACATTAATTTCAGATAATCTTTTTTCCAATTCCGTAATTGATTTGCTTTCCACAGGCTTTTCTATCAGATCGTTAATACGTTTCAAACCCTTTGAGATCAGCTCCTCTAAATTAATATTTTTTAAACTATTACCGTCCAAGCGAGAGGTTTGAGAGGTCAATGTTAAGCTATCACTAACAGGAACTTTAGGTCTGAAATAAAAATTTCATTTGGAAAAGAAAGTTCATCTTAAAAAGTTTATATGAAAGAACTCACTTTGTTTGTTGCACCTCACGAAATTTCTCCCTTAAAATAATTTGATTTTTCATAACTACCCGAGAGATATTACCCTGTTTGCCGTGAGTCTCCAAGACCAGGGAATCACCCTGCGATATTAGAGTCGCAGCATCAGGAGCTATAAGCATTTTTAAGTCTTCTACAGCTCTGTAAAAATACATTTCACGTAACGTAATTAATTTGCTAATATTTTTGCCTCTCTCTGGGTCTCTCTGCGTCTTACCTTTCGCCTTCACAGCATTTTTCGATTTTTTCTTTCGTCTTTTCGAGACGATGGATCATGTTTTTTGCTTTGCTCTCAAACTCCAAAACTCTTTGCTCTAAACTCAGCAATTGTTTTGTGTTTGTTAGTTCGGTGAGAGCGCTTTTTAGGGAAAGATTGGAATCGTCCAGTGAAGGAGATTGTGGCAAAATTTTATTGATGAATGTGTTGGGCTTCTTGGCGGATGGTGTTTCAATGCGGCTCTAGATTTTTAAAATATATAAAGCGACAAGAGAGAGAAAGTTTAATTGACAACACTTGCAAGTTCAATTCAATTTTTGTTTTTATTTTTTCTTTTTAGCTTTGTGGCATTTACTTCTTTTGAATAAAAATCATACCGTATCACTATCGGAGTCAATGGGTTGAGTCATTTCCATTGAAAACCTTGGTATATCCTCATCATCGGAGAATACCAAAGGCTCTACATCAAAACTTAATTCTTTGTCTGGATTATAGAAACTATCTCGAACCATGGCGTCCATCATGTTATTATCCAACTCATCCGTGGCCGCATGTAATTGACGCCAACGCTTCACTTTTGGTTTTACATAGCTTGGCGTGCTGGTTGCAGGCATATCCGTTTCTTCTTCCGAATCTCTTAAAATATCACGTTCGCTTTCCATACGTTTGCGCTTTTCTTCGAAAGAAATTCGTTGTTTCTCTACCCGCAAGATCGGTGTGCTAGAGTTATTGGCATCCGGAGGCCGTAGCTCAACTCCTGACTCTTTCTCCGTCTCTGACTCTTCTATAAGCGGTGTTCGAGGACTTTCACATAAAGATCGTTTGCTTTTCGATTTTTTTAACTCACGCCCCTCAGCATCCAGACGCACAGAGGAATCTGAATCTTCAGAGACGTCTATAATTTGTACGGTCTCTACATATTCGGGAACGAATGGCTCTACGCTTTCTAATATGTTAACGGTATCGACAATCTCTCCTTGCTGCGGTTCAAGGTCGTTTGTTATGTGCACCGACATTTTATTGTTATTTATATTTTTCACTTTGACTTCGACCATTTGCGCTTGAGGATCAGCATTTTTGCGCTTCAGTGGCAATTTTTGGCCATTTACGTTACTATTCGCTGCTGTTTCGGTGGCTGTTTGGGGATTCTTGGAGATCTGTGAGAAGAGAGCGCTCGTTTCAGCTAAACGGAACGTTTGTGGTGGCAACAAATCTGGCAATACTTGTGCTTGTTGTTGTTGACATTCAATGTTATTTTCAACACAACCCACCTGTAAATTCTGAGTTGTTGGTGACGACTGCATGTTGTCTTTAGATTGAACAGTTTCGTTCGACGAGGGTGTTCTAGCTCTGCGTTGACGTACCGTATTACTGACCACCACAATTTCAGTGTCTTCTGTCACGGGCATGTTCAACTTGTCCGTTTCATTTAAATGCTCCAAACTCGACGCTTGTTCATATTTAGTTTTCAAAGCATCCTAACCAAAAATTTTTCAATACAAAAAATTTTAGAATACGAATCATTTTCCACATAGAGAAACAAAGTGATCTCAAACCATTTTTCAAAAGGTTTCTACCAAAAATAACTCCAAAAATTAGGGGAAGCATACCATATTTAACTTATATTTCAGCGTTTTCATAAAACCCCAAAAAGTTTTATAATAGAGAAAAACAAAACAAAACTACAAAAATTATATAAATTTGCACAAAATAATATGTTTTAGTTTTTAGTTTTTTATTTTTTTATTTTATTTATTTATTTATCTGTTTTTTTTCTTTTTTCTTTTATGTTTATTAATCTCTGGAGAGCTTTGGTGGTATAAGTTGTGGTGAGTTATCATCCCAGGTGAATGAGATATTATAATGGTTTACAAGGGACAAATATTAAAAATGTTCTTTGTTGTAGTTTTTATTGTTGTTGTTGGAGCCTTAAACCCATTTACTTGTTTACTGTTTGTTTTGTTTTTAATCCTTATGTTGGTTATGGATAATGACTTCAACACCATTGACACAGTAAAACTTTACAACGGGTATATGGTAATGGCGGTGGATGGATGAGAGGATGTCGATAATTACGGTGGTGAACTTCTTTGCTTTTTTTGGTTTTTGTTATATAAATATTTTAATAGGAGAAAATATATG